TACCTAGGTTAACCTAGTTAACTAATATGTTAACAGGTATAAACTCCGAAATCCGTTCCTATCGTTCTAGTTTCGAAAAGACGCTCGAAAAAAAGACATGTTGGTGCTCTTGATTGCCAAAAAAAAGGTAAGAGGGGCTGAACTAGGACTCGGACACTTTTCTCTATGTAATATTCAAGGGTCTTAGTGTATCATTTTGTCCGATCGAGTGAATTCTCGACCTCCTCGACAATCTATTGTCTTAACTTAAGGGGAAACCAAGCGGCTTGGTACTTGTACTTTTTCGAAAAGATAATAAATCCTATTAACTACTTTATAAATCATGGACCAAACACATCCAGAAGCTGTACATAGGACATGGGAATCCAGGGTACTCAAGCGTCTATCATACTAGGCCCTGCCGGTACTCAAGACGAAAGGATCCCCTCATAATACCACCCCAGACCCTTTGGTGCTGTCATAGCGAATTCTGATTCGTGGGGAACTTGAATCCCACTGAATTATTGTCTGGACTAGGAGGGGAATGCTCGCACGTCCCTGACAGTCAATACTAGTCAGTAAGTCAGCTAGTGTTACCAACGGGCATCATCAGGTCTCAGACAACAGAATTTCCATTCTGCTTGTCTCAAATATTACGAGCTCTTTTTGTTTTTCTCTTCCTCCTCCTTCGTCCTATGGAAGTAGACAGGAAGAGTCAATAATTCCCTTGAGCCACTTTCTAATAAACTATTGGTCTTGACATCTAAGCCACGCCACCTGATAGTCTAGCCATACATATTACATATTACATATCATTATCCCTAAAATATCTTTGTGTTCAGTCAGTATTGCTTGGCGCCTAAAATCTTCAATCTGGTACCAAGTTTAGAAAGAAAAAGGCGAGTACGAATCCGCGGTACAACGTACATACAGAGCCCTTGCGCATACACACTACCTACATCCAGCCCGGCGTTTAAACCCGACCCAAGCCCCCTTAGATAATTCACCGAGCGAATAGCGCACTTGCTAAGAGTCTCGACTGGAGACAGACCCGTTGGCAATTTCGATAAAGACATCGATCACTGTCCATGGGGGAGCACTTTAAGTCCGCAAAATCCTAAAAATCCTAGTACATACCACACAAAGTACCTACCTGAAAGTTACCTAGGCTGAATTACTTCTCCAAAACGTCAACTTACATTAACTCTCTTAATTACCCAAAAACAACCCCGCGATAACGTCGTGTATCTCGATAACCACCCCGACGATTTTCTTATCTCCCGGAGCGACAACTTCCAGCCGAAACAACGACTAAATCCGTAGAAGAGAGGCCATGGATCACATGAGAGTCGATCCCGGTGGCTTCCAGATACCAGGAATGCACCGTCCACAACTGATGAACCAACCACCACAGATATTCGGTGCTTATAGTCACGATGGCTTATCCGTCTTGCATCCGGAACTCGCGGCGCAAATGGCTTTCGATCCATCGTCGTTGCTCGATGACCCGAACGATGCAAAGAGAAGGAGAATTGCACGGGTGAGTTATCACCAGTTTCGGGTGTGAAGCTGTACATAGGTTGACTTGAGTAAATGAAGGCTTGTGATATGTGTCGGAAGAAGAAAATCAAGTGCGATGGAAAGCTTCCCGCGTGCACGCATTGTATTAACTATAAGACGGAATGCGTCTTCACGCAAGTCGAGAAGAAGAGAAGTCCGCCCAAGGGGTATGAGTGGTTCATGTCCAACTAAGTGCGGTTAGAGACTGACCTATGCAAATAGTGCAAAGTATATCGAGGGTCTCGAGAACCGTCTAGGGCGCATGGAAAGTTTGCTGAGGCTATCCGGTACGTCCTCAGTCCTTCACTGTACACCTTGCATTGGCTCACAATATAAGAAAGGCCTACTCGGAGAAGATGACGAATCAACCGATCTAGCTACACTGGAAAGACGTCTCGCCGAGAAGCACCAGCAGTCGAGACAAGCTTCGCAAGCAGCTACTTCGAATCCTACATCACCGTCGCAAGCGACATCTGGTCATGATGGCGCAGAATCGACCCCTCAAAGTGCCCTAACATCTCCAGAGCCGACTAGAGACCGTGATAATAGAAGAGAGAGCTCACCGCAACCCGAGCGACCTAAAGATGAAGAAGTCGAGTCCCTATCTGAAATGATGTGCTCATTAGTAACGAGCCAGTCCGGAGAGACGAGATATATAGGTACTAACCACGAAATAGCTACGGACATAACCCGTGATGGAATTCGGCTAACTTGTATTAGGGTCATCGTCGGGTTTCTCTATATTCTCACCAAAGGGTATCCAATGGGTAAACGAAAAGACGGGAGACAGATCATTTCAACAAATGATATCGTCAGTATCCATCGATGATCACAAATGGAATCACTGGAAACCCGAGATTTTTAGTGACCTTTTCCATCGTCCGATTTATCGGCAGTTACCGCCTAAGCCAGAAGCTTTATCCCTGCTCAAGGACTATTTTGACAACTTCAACTGCATGTTCCCGCTGTTCCACCAACCAACGTTTATGCATCTCGTTGAGAGACAGTACTCCAATGACCCGTATCAGGGTTCGGGATGGTGGGCTAGCCTGAATGTTGCATTGGCCATTGCGCATCGTCTTAGAGTCATGAGTAATCTAGTACCGCAGGAAGAGGACGATAAGTCATGGGCGTACATGAAGAACGCCATGGGAGTTTTTTCCGAATTAACGATGCGCAATACCGACTTATTGAGCGTGCAGGCTTTACTCGGCATGGCCTCCTTTATGCAGGGGACCCCCAACCCTCAGCCGTCGTTTCTGCTGGTTGCTGCAGCCATCAGACTGTCGCACAGTATCGGGTTGCATAAGCGCGGATGTGGTTTTAATCTGAACCCGGTCGAGATTGAGCAAAGGAAACGAGTGTTCTGGATAGCATATATGCTAGATAAGGATCTGTGTCTCCGATCCGGACGGCCTCCAGCGCAGGATGACGATGACATGAATGTAGAGCTCCCAGATGCCGATCCAGTAGACAATATTGGCAACATTCCCCTTGCCGACGGAAAGGGAAAGATGAATCTATTCCGAGCGATGTGCGAATTAACGGTTATTGAGAGTCAGGTTTACAAGAGGCTCTATTCAACCAAGGCCACCAAGTTATCAGAAGGCGAGCTACTACAGACCATAGGAGAGCTTGATAAACAACTAGACACTTGGAAGGAAAACATCCCCATTGACTTCCGTCCAGAACACGAAATAAAAGCGTCTCACACTCCTCTAATACTCCATGTGGTTATGCTACATTTCTCTTACTACAACGCCCTCACTACAATCCATCGCATGTCTATACATCACGGCTACTGGACAAGTCGACTATCCAATTACGCGATCCAAGGCCTGAACCCCAGGCCTTTAAATCCACGGGTATTTGCATCTGCAGCTCTGTGTGCATCCGCAGCCCGAGCAAGTATTCAACTGCTTAAGTATATCCCGCAGGGCGACTTTTCCTGCGTTTGGTGAGTGTCTCAACATTTATACCCGCACTCCTTATCCGTACTAACACACTGCAGGCTTATTCTTTACTTCCCTGTCTCGGCACTCGTCACGCTCTTCGGGAATATTCTGCAGAACCCGTTAGACCCGCGAGCGAAGTCGGACACGAAACTGATGAATCTGGTGGTGACATTCCTCTCCACCCTCGGCGCTGAGGCTGAAACCGGTGGAGTGCACCGTATGCTCGGTGTATGCTCCGAGTTTGAGCGCATCGCCAAGATCGTCATCGACAAGGCGGAACGCGACACTAATCGGCGTAAGCGTAAGAGTCACGAGCCTCAGAGACCGTCCATCAGCCAAACCTCTCCATCGCAAATGGTCAACACGCCGCGGTCCTCAGCAGCCACACCAACTAGCAACAACTACTCAGGAAACTCGCAGCTATCGCCCAAATTTAACGGAGAGCAGAATCGTGCTAATAATGCAGCAAACGGGGGCTTCAGCCCCATGGACACGGCGAGCTCGAATAACGGCTCAGCGCCACGCGACGGACCTGGAGGCTGGCCGTCTCCATCGCCACAACAACAGCAGGAGTGGAATCCCAACGCTATGGACTTCGGCAACTTCTCAGAGATGACGGGCTTTGGACAGCCGATCACGTCACCACAATTACCGAGTCCCGCCGCGCCTGGAGTTGCGGGCAAATACCAGCCGCTTCTCCCACAGGAGCTGTGGCAGATGCCCGGAGGGCTCGACTGGGACTGGGCCGAGTTCACGGGAGGCGTTTATCCTAGCTTCGAGAACGGGTCCGCGACGCAGAATGGGAGATGAGTTTGACCTACCATTCACTACTATAATCATACGGGGGGGTCTATAGGCCATCCCTACACTTTTTCGCGAAACAAAGAATACATGGACCGAGTGCTTCAGCGTTACGTTCGATTGGGGAGTAAGGCACAAGCATAAGCATGGCAGGTATGAGAGAAAGCATCCGGGGTGTAAGGGCATTGGATGCAAGGAATTGAGCACGGGCGTGGGGGGTTGAGGTTTTCTAAAAAGTAGGGAAACGAGGCCGGAGGGGGGGATTGAAGGGATTCAACTATTTGGACTAACGTTGCTGTTCTGGCCGATAACAGTTAAGAACTAGACCTGCTGTCTTAGGTAGACAGGTACCCCATGAGGAGTTTGAATTTGCTTATCTATGGTATTTTATATTTTATGTCTTTTTTATGTGTAGGAGGCGGTATGCGGTGGCGTTTATACGGCGCATCTATGTTCTGTCCAGCGGCCTGAGACGAGACGTTGTATATCTCAACTCTTGAGTGTGTGTTTATGAATGAACATAATGTTATTTAAACAAGTAGTTATTTCAAAAAAAAACTTTACCTTGAATTTATTCCATGAAGTCCCCTTATGTGTATGTACCTAAGCTATTATATCTCAGCTGTATGTGTATAGTTGGCCTACAAGTACAGGTATTTATTTATGCAAATGCATAAGCCAGAAAAGCCCAGCACAATTAAATCCCAAGAGAACCACCGTAATTCTGCTGTCGGTCTCATCATGATGTAATCAATTACAGATTAGGCGAAAGCACAACAACGATTCAACGTTTCGGAGCTCGTCACAAGTGCTCAGCAATCTGTATGTGACATGCAGCCAAGATCCCAGTTGCTTGCCTTAGCGTTGCTTCGGCCCATATCTATTGAGAACCTCACCAGAATAGCTTCTTCTAATAATTACCTGACAGTGGTAGGTGTGCCACTTACTTGTCGTGTGACTTTTATTCTGCCTCACTTCTCCTGGACAAGCCTACTCTTATCTAAGTCCGATCTGTGCATAGGACTTGTAAGACATACCCAAGGAGGCACCTCCACCTATCAAGCATGGCTCAACACGAAGCATCGAGTCCCCAACTCCACCCCGGCGATCAGCACGAGATCCCCAGCGTTGAGGCCCACGGATCCTTCGACTCGCTGAAGGACAGGATCAAGACGCATTACGAAATCGCGTCGGACTACTACTACTCGCTATGGTATTTCCCGCCTCTCATTTTATCGTTATTTCCGGTGCGGAGCTAAGCCAGACGTTCATTTTTCACTCGTAGGGGCCAACATATCCACCACGGCCTCTTCAAGTCCGCCCACGAGACTAAGGAGCAAGCCCAGGTCAATCTTATTAACTATCTGCTTGAGATCTCGGCTCTGCCCGCTAGCGCCAAGGTCCTGGATGTCGGCTGCGGCGTCGGCGGCACGAGCCGGTTTCTCGCGCGCGAGCGTGGGTGCACGGTTACCGGCATTACGATCAGCGGGCGGCAGGTCGAGATCGCGAGACAGGTGACTGCGACGGAGACGGGCGGCTCCGCGCCTTCTCCGGGAAGCTTTGCGAGGTACGCCGATGAGGCGGGGAGGGGAGGAGGAAGGGTCCGCTTCCTCGAGCTCGACGCCGAGAAGATGCTGGATCACTTCCGTCCGGCAGCCGGTGATGAAACGGAGACATTCGACTGCGTCTGGATATCGGAGGCGCTGTCGCATCTGCCGAATAAGGAGCTTTTCTTTTCGTCATCGTTTTCCCTGGTGAAGAGTGGGGGATTACTCGTTATTGCCGATTGGTTCAAGGCGCCGGTTCTATCGCCCGAGCAGGAGAGTGCTGATATCAAGCCCATCGAAGACGGCATGCTACTCCCCCGGCTCTATACCGCGGACGAGTATGTTGCCCTAGCGGCGCAGGCAGGGTTCCGAGCTCGCAAGGAGCCGGTTGATATAAGTAAGGACGTGGCTAAGACATGGTAAGCTACTTCGAGTTATGCTATGCAAAATTGGGGTCTAATTGTCACGTATAGGGATATTTCATGGTCTCTTGTTTCCTCACCTTCACTCTGGGCCTTCGCCATATCTCAAGGTAGAGACGGCCTTGCGTTCTTGCAGGCATTTAGGGCGATGAGGAGAGGTTACGCAAACGAGACGTTTAGGTACGCGGTCATGTGCTTTGAGAAGCCTTGAGTGTGGAATTTGTGATGATAGAGGGGGCGGAGTTGGATACCTAATCTATATATGTTGGTTGTGAGATTGATAGAGTGTCCGCACGTAGCTATCATCCCCTAACCAATATATAAAGATCAGCTATAAAGACATGCGGTAAGGTAGCGTGATTTCTACTACTTAAGTCGCTCACCTAATTACGTATCTTGTCGAACGACGAGAAGCCTCGTGTCTAGAATAGGTATATTCGCTAATACAGAGCCTTGACCCTTAGGTAATCCGAATCAAGTGTCTAGATAGGTGCCTAGGCAAACAAATAGGAAGCCTCGTTAATCCTACATCGTCTCTTGGCTATTTAGTTAAGTAGGATACACCTCCTTTGATATAGATGTCACATACCTAGGTTAGCAGGATATATGTATAAGAGGGGTAATTTAAGTGGCCGAGGAACTTTAACTAGTAGATTATATATCAACTGGCATTCTATTTGACTTACTGCTGCTCTAGTAGCCTACGCATATTGTCTGTGACTCTTAATAGCTTAAGTAGTAGGTTGTAAGAAGCTTCGCTATAATGTTTATCATTACACGAGGCGGCGATGTTGCCCAGCTCTTTATGAGACGCCACTATTGGGAATGCCTAAGCGTACCAAGGAGCGGTCTTCTCACATAGACTTAAGCAATATGGTGAAAACTACAAGCTATGAACTATATTAGGTTAGGCAAGCAATCAGAGACGAAATTGTTAGTCGAAAAAAACACCGTATAGAGCTATAAAATTTTGATTGCGTCTCATGCTTGGAGGATTCATGTCAGAATATAACACAATGTTGCTAAATTCGTCTTCGAAGCTTAGCCGAGCCTGGCACTTACTAAGATGGACGTCTATCTGAAATAAGGGACACTACACATTGAGGAGCAGAGTTTTTCGCCGTAACATCCCGAGACTTAAAAAGTTTTCGGTGACGATCCTTTCTGTGAAACAGAAGCCGGCGTGGCTTCAATGCTATTCCTATATAGGTATTGGAAATACCAACAGGGCCATGATTACTGGTAGAACATATATCTTTTTAGAAACGACGGCATCGTCACATAAATGTGATAATGTGCCTTTGTATCAGTAAAAGGCAGATACCAACGAGACTGGGAGCTCCTGAAACTTCGCGCAACATATTCCTAATTGCCCAAGCCATTGGCACGTCACGATACGAAGAAGTTTGCCCTATTGTCCATTAAAAGGCAATGCATTAAGAAAGAGTCAAGACAAGCTCAAAAGCCAAGAAAGCAGGGTGCACCCTGAGACAGCACAACGGTAGACGAGCCGTAGTGCGGGCACGGCTATATGTATTGTACTTACATCGTAGCACCGCTAGTCGTTGACCGAATATACATATTCGGACGACTTTCTAGAAACAAGCGCGGCGATCGCGGCCATGGTAAAGGCCACTTCGTTAGTCACGATATTGAAATGCTCACCGTTGCCGGAAAGCTAGGCCTCAAGAGGCCTCAAGCTCGGCGGGTATTGTGGATTTCTCATTAGGCTCGAGCGCGGTCATGCGCACGTCGAATGGAGCTTTTACGACTTTAAACAATTAGCCTAGACCTACAAATGCTTGTCTGTATCTCCGTAATCTGGAGAAGCTCGATTGATGACTAGGTGGGGATAGTTAAGCTGCATGAAAGATGAAAACCCGTAGGGTTCCCGGTGACGGTGACGGTGAATCTATGTTTGAGCTCGGTGGAGACCTTTCCATGCTCTCCATGCTCTCCATGCTCGGCGGCTTGGGCTTGGAGTGGAGAGATTGGGCGGAAGGGCGCTGACAGGCCTGGGCGGTTCATCAGACGAACTAGAAGAGCCCAAAAGAATTGACGGTCGTATCAAGCACCAGTTCGAAGGAAATTGCAGTAATGACGACTACATATTCCCTATTTCTTCCGACAAGTTTTGGTTAGGTAAATGCAGGAAACATACTACATAGCTCTCATGTATGCTTCGGTCATCTTGAAATTATTGTCGAATCTGATATAGTGGCAGTCTTAACTAGAACTCGGTGAGGCTGTTAATAGACTTACAGCAACCGATTCTCTATGTACATAGTGTATGTAGAGGCCAGTCGGTAAAACCCACGCCTCGTGGCATTTTTTCAGATCGGAAGAATCCGGGTCCCTTACAAGGGTTTGTACAAGATTCGTCAGCCCTGTCAGCCCCATCCTTCGGCGCGGTCATACCTTGCAATATCGTGATCAATTTCGGGCTGGCCCTGGATTGGGCTTCCAGAATTCAAATTTTTTAAAATGAACGGGGGCCATCGTGAAGTAAACGAGTTTGCTTAGGCACCTTAGTATAGCATTACTCGTATGTAACAGCAGAGAGAGGTATGATTTAGTTAGTAATCATACAATATCTCGAGTCATGGTCTCCCGTTATTTCCATTTGGAAATACCATATACCCTCTTATCCCCGGATCCTCGTCATTAAGACCTCCAACCGTTGACGGATCACAGGATCTTGCGAAGGAAGCCTCTTTTGATCTGATCATTCCCAACTTTTGAGAAGGGCAAGAAGAGGAAGGGCTCGGCCATCTATGTAAGACCTGTACGTTATCAAAATCAAAATCAGAAACATTGGACGGTCCCAAGTCGCAAATCCGACTTATGCAGGGACGGGGAGATAGAGCCCAATTGGTTGTATCTCGGACCAGTCACAAGAGTCGGGACTGCGGGATCGACGGACATGCAACGTCAAGGATCAGGGAGAATCCGATGCACCCCAATTTTTTTTTTTCGGAGTCCGTGTTGCGACAATGTCATACACTCGTACACTACACTCGTACACCACACTCATACACCTCTTACACTAGAAATTTCGTGAATGTTGCTGTCGCCGACGAGAAGGCGTTCCGTGGCAATTCGTGGGGTTGGATTCTGCAGAATAATCGTATCATAACCAGCCACAGAAAGGATGAAGCAATAAGGCATTCTTCATGCCCAAGTTCGTATACCGTATAGCATATACATAGCACTTATGCTCTCTCAACGTCGTAACTTGGCGGGCTTGGACATGTGAAGGCAGCCGATGAGCAACCCTTCCTTCGTCTTAGCTATCTTTACCATGTAGGTTTAGGTATGTATTGTATTGTATGTACAATACGAAGGGGGTTCCACGTCCCACTAGAAGTCAGTAAGTTACATAGTCCTCAAGGCTAGTCTAGTCCTAAGGATCGTTCCCCGGGCCCAATTACGAATTGCAAAGCTTTCCTTATTCGGCGTATCCTTCTTTTTTAGTTGTTAGTACGTACAATAACTGCCTAACCTAACATATTCCAAGACGGAGTATTGTATGAAGGTCCATAACCTTATGGGATAACCCTACGGTGTGCAATGCCTGTCTGTACTACACTAACCTAGGTACTTTCGATGCTCTTACACACACCACCATGTATGCTGTATGAGGTAGATATGTAAGTATCGGCATACATTCGTACGGCAGTCTCTTGATTTTCCCTTGATCGGATCCCAACAAAAATTCTCCGTCTATCTTTCTTAGAAAGAAGAGAAAATTCGGAAATTCAGTGAGTATCTGTCAATCTTGACTTATAACTTTTTTTTTCCTCTATCATTAGGTCTATTAGGTTGTCTACATCGACTCCTACATACTTCTTCAAAACTTTACCAGTTACCCGTTTCGGACGTTGCTTCAATTGATTTGCAACCCTTTTTTTTTACGTTGCTTCCCACTCAAGATAAAGTAAAAAAAAAAAAAATCGATTGGAGGATACCCAAACTACGCGAATCTCGGTACGGCCGTGCTTCGTTGGTACTCTCGTACCGAAAATATACCCTTTTTCACCTTTCCCTCTCTTCTTATTCGTTCCGTAACTTGCCGATCAGCCGCCCCTTAGCTCCCCCTGGGCTCTTGGGCTAATAGCGAAAATACTACAGTGATCGACCTAGTGTTTGATCCCCTATGAAACCCCAACGAAACCCCAGTTCGCCCTTGTCACAGCTTACACGGCTCCGTGTTAGCGGTCGTCTGGCGGCAGCGAATGGAGGTCTGAGAACGAAGGCATACGGATCCAGGACCCTTGGTGTTCCTCATGCTCTTCCTTATGCTACAACTAATAATGCTGGTGCTCATCCTGATGCCGGCTCGCCATCAATGTTATTAAGAAGCCCGGTCCCATCTGCAAACGGCCTCATCGACGACTTCGTAGTTAGGCGGACTTTTATTAATAACACAAGAAATTACACGAATACTCTTCGGGACAGTAATCAGCAGACACACCACGTTCACCCACCCGAACCTAGTTCCTTGTATTCCTTGCATTCCGGACTTTTCTCTTGCACCACTACTGGTAGTGATAACCGAAAAGGGGAACCATCGTCTTTGCCTGTTGCTCCGTACCCGTCCACGTTGTCTTCAGCCATTTCTAGTTCTGATAGCGTCAGCTGGATCGGACAGTCCCCTATTAGCCCTATTCTTCCGTCTTACCCCATCAGCTCAACATCCAACCGTTGTCTTTTAATACTGGCACGCCACCCGTCACCGCGACGTCCAATGGCGTTTAATACTTACAGCACCGCCAGTTCAGATATATCAACGCCGCGCTCGTCTTCTCCTTCTTCATTCTCTATCGCGTCTGCGCGTTCCTCTCATACTTCCGTCTCTAGTAAACGCCTGTCCTTATCTATGCAACGAAGGCAGTCTGCGCTGAACCCAATGTCCTCGGTCGATATTTCTGCAATTGAAGAACAGATGAAAATGGCTGCCCTAGACGGCCTTCGAGGTTACGCACAGAACCACTACGGCGAGGTCCAACAGTACCGAAGCACAGACTACGTCCCGCAGTCCGCCGCTGGTGGTTACCAAATATTACGAGAGCCTCTGTGGAACAAAGGTATTGCGCCGAGTTTTTAAACAAGCCCACCCCCTTGCGATTGCTTTCCTACTAACACCCAAGCTATCCAGGACTCTCTTTTACCCCAGATGAGCGTGTCTCTAAGAACCTCACAGGTCTAATGCCGCATGCCATGGAAAACGTTGAGACTCAGGTCGCCAGGTGCATGAAGGTGATCAACTCTAGGCAGACCAACGTCGACAAGTATCTATACTTGACACACCTCAAGACTCAGAACTTGGATCTGTTCTATAGAGTACTTATCGACAATGTCCGTGACTTGATGCCGCTAGTCTACACTCCCACCATCGGTGATGTGTGTCTGCAGTACTCTACGCTTTACACTCACCCGGAGGCGTTGTACATATCGATCAAGCAGCGCCGGTCGATGAGGACGATTCTGCGTAACTGGCCTTATCCGGACCCCGAAATCTGCGTTGTAACGGACGGATCCCGCATTTTGGGGTTGGGCGATCTCGGTATGAATGGTGTGGGGATCTCCGTAAGTTGCACCTTACACCATCTTGGCTTACATTAGTGCCCCGTGAAATCTGAAGCTGACTGCTGCTTAGATCGGCAAGCTGGCTTTGTACACCGGTGCCGCCGGTATCCACCCCGGAAAGACCCTACCAATCGTACTAGACACCGGTACCAACAATGAAACCAACCTGAAGGACCCCCTGTACCTGGGTCTCCGGGCTAGACGCCCTACGCCGGCTGTTGCCCAGGAGTTCATGGATGAATTCATGGAGGCTGCCGCCGAGGTCTTCCCCAACATGCTCGTCCAGTTTGAAGACTTCGAGACTGAGAAGGCTTTCAACTACTTGACTCGTTACCGCAACAAGTACAAGTGCTTCAACGATGACATCCAGGGAACCGGTGCCGTCGTATTAGCTGGGTAAGTTATTCGAAGCTTCTCGTCATACCTTTTGTCATTAATTACTTACATGATATTAGTTACATTGGCGCTGTGAACCTATCCGGTGTTCCTATCGAGGAGCAGCGTCTAGTATTCATGGGTGCCGGCTCAGCCGGTGTTGGTGTCGCAAAGCAGATGGTCGAGTACTACACCCGTCGCGGTCTCTCGGAACAAGCTGCGAAAGAGAAGTTCTGGCTTGTTGACACCAAGGGCCTGGTTACCGTGGACCGAGGTGACAAATTGGCGGACCACAAGAAGTACTTTGCCCGGTCGGATAACAACGGCCACCAGTTCCGCACACTCGAGGAAGTAATCGAGTATGTGAGGCCGTCTGCCCTCGTTGGTCTTACGGCAACTTTCGGTGTCTTTACCGAGTCTGTCGTTCGTGCCCTCAAGGCCTCGGTTGACTCTGGCGGCTCTGGAAGGCGACCCATTCTCTTCCCTCTCAGCAACCCTCTCACAAAAGCTGAATGCACATTCGAGCAAGCAGTCCAGTGGACAGATGGCACTGTTATCTTCGCATCCGGTTCTCCGTTTGCGCCGTTTGCCGTCAAGGCCGGTGACCACGCTGTGACCTACTGGCCGAACCAGGGTAACAACGTCTACGTGTTCCCTGGTCTAGGTCTCGGTGCTATCCTCGCTAAGGCGTCAAAGATCACCGATGAGATGGTCTACATATCGGCTTCCTCACTATCTGAGTCCCTGAATGCCGAAGAAGTTCACAAGGGTTTGATCTACCCCAACATCGAGCGTGTCAGGGATGCCAGCGTCATCGTCGCCCGGGAGGTGATGAAGGCCGCCCGCAGAGAAGGTGTCAGCACTCTACCCGAAGAACAGTGGGTCGAATGGGAAGAATGGGGTGACGTTGCCCTGACGAAGTACATCAAGGAGAGGATTTACGATCCCCTCAAGTAAGAACGTGGCTTGCATGACGAGGTATGCATGAGATAAGATTCATGGTCGGCGTTATTGGTATTATTTCCCCACATCTGGGTCTGGCACATAATGATTATTACGCTTCGCTCCCGACGAAGGCATTTCGGAGATATCCTTGGGATCTTAGCTACTTACATAGGCATCATGTTGAGGGATTTTCCGAGTCTGTGGATAGAAGATGGAACTTGTTATAAAGGGAACAGACAAGACCGCGATCTAGACTCAACGGTATAAGGGTTGAATAGATGGACTATATAGATCAAAAGAACACTTTCATTCACGTATTTGTTGTTTCTTCATAGCCCTGGCATGTGTGCGCTCCGGTAGAGCAGTCGATTTCTTCCGAGTTTGAATTGTGGCTTACTTTTTATTATTATTATGATTCTCTGCTAAGACAAACTCATCATCTACGAAGTAACAAGTTCAAAGTAGTTTACTTCACTGCGGGCTGAACCTGAAACTGATGACTGCTGACATCTCAGTAATATAACCTCTACTGGTCCAAATTTTTTACTATGAATATTTAAGATAATAGTACTTCATCCATTGACTTAATTAGATGGCAAGCATAATAGCTTCTTAGGGATAACGTTCCTGGGAGAAGCGTTTCCATTCGGATATTCAACCTCCCAGTCAACAAGAGGTCATTTTCCGGGTAACGCAAAGCCTAAGGTTTTACACCGCACCATAGTTTCTATATAAGGTAGGTACCGGTATATATATTAATTATTATACCCAAGTCATATATTATTAAATATAATCCTTCACAAATGTTGTATAAAGTAAATGTCAGGATATGTAGGTAGGTAGTTATATTGAACGATTGTTTACCTAATCCTAGTAAATTTACCCCTAAGTCCACCCCCGAGTCTACCCTTAAGCCACTTATACCTTAACAATATTCCAGGTCTTTTATCATTCTTTTATTCATTTCTTGTTCCTTTTTATAAGGTAGCAAGGCACATGTCTCAAACTCAAATAGGAGTTTTCTTTTTATTCGCATTTGACACAATATCCTATATATAAAAGATAAGCCTTGGGCATATCTTTATCTCAATAGAATTTGCACATAAAATCTGAACATATCATCCCATTCGGAGGCACTGAGCCCGGTTAAATAATCATCTAGGGGCTCACGGGGTATCTCTGGAGCCTTTGGTTGTTCAGACTGAGCGTCTGATGGCAATGGCTGGGTCTCTGACGGTGCCGGTTGAGGTTTTAGTTGTACTGTATGGTTCTCTGGGGGTATCGTTTGAGAGTATGATGGGGCCGTTTGGGTCGTTGGCAGTGCTTGTTGAGATTCCGGTGGCACTTTCTGGGCCTCTGAAAATACCGACTCAGTCTTCGGTAGTGGCGCTGTGTGGGTCTCAGAAGGTAGTGCCGGAGGCTTTGGAAGTTCCAACTGGGGCGGCGGTGAATGTGTTTGCCTCTGGACCTGGCGATAATTCTTAAGCTTCCTAGATCTCCTAGATTGTCTAGACTGCCTAGGTAGACTGGGTGTACTGGGTGGACCATATTGACTAGGAAGACGTATAGGCCAACTAGATTGAGGGGGGTTACCAGTCGGTTGTCCGATATAGCCTGGCTGGCTGTAGCTGTAGTTGACTTGTTGGTTGCCTACCGCAGTATTAATAGGGCTATAATATGGATATGTAGCCAATCTCCTTTCACGTTGTGCATGATGAAGATGTTGAGAATGCCTGCGTGGGACAGGACCTGGCCCATAGTTCGTTTGGTAGGGATTGTAAACCCTCGGGTCGGGCTGGTAGGTGGCTTGAGGTGGGGCTATGAAATTCGTTGCCCTCATACTAGGTTGACTGGTGCTCTGAGGTGGGACTATGAAATTTGTTGCCCCCATACTAGGTTGACTGGTGCTTTGAGGCGGTACTGTGAAATTCGTTGCCTCTATACTAGGCTGGGTAGTGCTTTGATAGGGAACTCCCATCCCCGTCGTTGTTTGCCCGGCATAACCCTGAGTTGGTGGTAAACTGTAGCCTTGAACGGGTTGCCCATGGCTATCAGGTACACGATGTGTAGGATAGAAATATTCTGGAACATATGAAGATTCGTCCATTTCGAACGTGCTCAAGAAGCGATGCTGCTGTTCGTGCCTAACAAGACGCGTAGTTAGCAGAGGAATGTGCTTGTTAATGATAATAATGATTATACTAACGTCAACGTCTATCAGTAGCCACAGCAAGCGCATATATTGTGCTGAGACGTCCAGAGAACTTCCTTCGAGGCAGAGCTAGTGTGTTATCTGATAGATGAGATCTTCCGTTTTTATTTATGAACTTGATTCTCTCTTGTCTCTAGTATTACTATATTCAATTGACGGCGGCATTAGCTATTTATATATTTTTTCCTGGATGCTTAAAGTTCCTTGCTAACAAAATTCAAACGCCACATTTCTACTCATTCCAAAGTATAACATAACCAAGAGGTATTTCCGACTTGAAAGTCTATTGCATTGGCGGCAATGTTGGGTGCGCTTGACTTTATCGCCCGTGTGTATTTTGTCAAGGCGTATTAAGAGTTGCGGTCTGGTCGCGATATAAAGATGAGGCCTCAGTGGCAAATATCTTAATTGTATATTCATCTTTAATCGTAAAAGAAGACAAATAAGCTTCCCTTCATGAGAAAGCGCAGTTAATTTTAGAATAGGAGTCGCAGAAGCTTGGTCACCATAGACTTCAATAGTAACACTTATGATTCCCAACAAATCGTAGTAATTGCCAGGGTATAAGTGGGTAGAGGTATCTATAGGGGTCTATCTACTGTACAAGGGGCGCAGAGAGCCCTCGCAAGAGGATAGAAGGCCAGGCGTTACTAGATCAATATAATATACTACTTGGCCTACTTGCCCTATAAGTCAAACCACCCTTACTGGGGCCACCCTAGTGGGGGCCACCCATTTCCCATACAAAATCAACAACTTCGCATGTCTATAATTAATTCAAAAGAATAGATAAAAATATACAATCTCTTATGTTTTACTTTTCGATCATTATAATAGCTTATGTACATTTTATCATATTTAAAATCTAATGTTTTAATAGTAAAATAATAAAGTGTATTTTTAATGTTATTTTTAAAATTTTTAAAATTTTAATTTTATATGGGAATTTCATCAAATTACCATAAAACCTTATAAACGCTTATAACTTCTCAGATAAATAAGTTATATAACTGGCCTTAGATTTTAAAGTTGTATTAAAACGTCCCTTATTTAACAATATAAGTTTTACATTTATACCATATTAATTGGTAAAGTTATACGCAATAATATCCCTTAACAGCTTTACATATAAATTTGTATATAATTGTTAGTGTATACTCTTGTATTCATTTTACCACAGATATTAGCCCTGCCATTTTTTCAAAATTTTATACCTGGTGAAAATTCAATACCGTACTCAAAATCAAAGACCGTATAATTTTATCTATTTTCTTGAATTAAATAAAGATATGCGAAATCGTTGATTTTGTATGGGAAATGGGTGGCCCCCACTAGGGTGGCCCCAGTAAGGGTGGTTTGACTTACACTCACTCTGTGTATGCCATCAATCAACGGGTATAAATCCTGACAGTAATGTACATGAATATCTGTACTATATTTGATATCTAATGAGTTGTATAGTCTGGGCTAGGTGTCAGTAATCGTGACATATCGCCTAAGTACCTGGTTTAAATCATTGGAGATACAAGATTGTATTAACCTGTATTTTGTTAGAAATTGTGCACTATTCTTTCATGTAACTGACTTAACTAACATCATCTAGTCGTATTCAACATCTGTCTATATTAGATACTCTACTTTCTCTTGTAGAAGTTGCCTAGAAATAGTTGTTGAATTTCTGCAAACTGTCTTCCATAAATTCGTCATACCGAAAATAATAGTTCTTGTTACTTTCGTATGAAAACGGATAGTTTCTATAGTATTTTATGATAGAGTTCTGCATTGGGGTTCACGGTCTTCTTAAATACCTACCCAGGTGCCTTCTAGGTAATCTTGGATCTAATAGCAAGTTACTCGTAGCCTGTGAGCAGCATGCCGCAAATGGGAAGACCATTGCAAATGTGCACTGGCGGTAGATAAGCTATTAAGCTCTGACCTTATAAAATTTCTCCATCAATCATGTTATCTTAGGTACCTACCTAGGAGGCAACTATACAGTTTCCCCCCATTTCTGCGGTTAGGTTAAGAGGTAGGTACCTAGGTAGGTAGTCTAGACCCCAGATTTCCAATATCCGCTTAATCAACCTCGCCCCTTTCTTCCACGCCCACTCCACATTAGCCGAGTTCGCCAATATCCATGTCTTAGGTACGTTTCTTCGTCCGCGCACTCTGATTTGAGCGCATTTTTTCCTGGGGTACACGATGCCACGTTTTCCCTTAATATAGTATTAAGATAATATATGTCTTCTCGTTTGCATTACAGCAACCCATCCCCCCTCCCCATTTCACCGCCCGCCCAACATCGACCGAGGTAGCCTGGACTTCGCGAGAGCCAAGACGGCAATATGGATTACTTAGTTCTACGGCTCTGGAAGAGTTTGACACTAAGGGGGGGCCGTAGTCTAAGATACCTCCGGTCCGGCGAATCTTTTACCTAGATGGGACTCTCCGTTTTCCCACGAGAATGCAGTCATTTATACTTCTCTTTCCTACCATCACGTCTTTCAGGACTTGGATTCCCAAAGCTAGAAAAGAGTAGTGATTGCGCGATTCCTTCCTAGGCCCGGGAAACATCTTTGTTCCACAAATAACCTAAAGCGTGGAAGAGAAGAAGAAAAATGATGCTTACATATTTTATACCTGCTCTATTGGCATTTGCTAGCGGAGCCTCTGCGGCTCTCAATGTCACAGGCTCGACATGCACGGTAACACCTCTACCGGTTGCGGGTGGCAAGGAGCCAGACGACACACAACAGATCCTCGATGCTTTCAAGCAATGCGGGAAGAACGGCAAGGTCATCTTAACGGAGGGTTCATTCCACATCGGGAAGGTGATGGATCTCAAAGACCTGAGCAATGTGGATGTTGAGATCTACGGTACGCTACGATGGTCCTCGGACATTCAGTACTGGTTGCAGAACAGTATCGGCGTCGAGTATGCGCAGCGGTCTACGGCCTGGCGCATTGGTGGCCAAGATATCAGCATCCGTGGCTTCGGCAAGGCGCTGTTTGACGGCCAGGGCCAGCTCTGGTATGACCAAAACCGCGGCGCAAGTAACCAGGCCGGACGACCGATCAGCTTAACGCTCTGGCATGCTAAGAATGTTCTTATCGATGGAATCACTTGGAGGCAGAGCCAGTTCTGGCGTAAGCTACTCCCACACTCCCTTCATATTTACCAATAGTATCTTGAATTTGAAATATGAATAAAAGACGAAGAGGGCTAATAGAATATTAGATACCTTCGTTGCGTATAGCGAGAACATCACCATGACGAACCTGGATATGAACTCGACCAGTAACAGCCAATGGAGCACTGTGAACACCGATGGTACCGACACTTGGAACTCGAAGGACGTCTTCATTAAGAACTGGACAGTGACCTGTGGTGATGTAAGTCCCCCCACCCTTTAATTCCTCCAATATCTCTATCTCCTTCCCACCCCCTGAGCATTACTCAACTAAACCTCCTACAGGACTGCATAGCCATCAAAGGCAACAGCACCAACATCCAAGTCTCCGACGTGCACTGCTACGAGTCCGGCTGCGCGACCATCGGCTCTCTGGGCAACAACCCCGGCAACGCGCCAGACTTCGTGCAAGACGTAACCTTCAACAACATCACCTGCACGCACAGCTCCAACGCAGCCTGGGTCAAAACCTACAGCGGCAACGGGCGCGTGCGCAACGTCACCTTCTCCAACATCCGCGCCGAGAACGTCAACCAGCCCATCTACGTCACCTCGTGCATCTACACGGCGCGCGCGTGCGACCAGAGTCGCCTGCCGATCCAGGATGTGCGCTGGATCAACGTGACGGGGACTAGCCGGTATAATATAGCTTCTGCCATCCACTGCTCCGCGTCTAGCCCTTGCTCGGGGTTTAGTTTCGAGAACGTTGACATCACCCCGCTGGATGGGAAGACTACGCCCAAGTACTTGTGTAGTAATATCCAGGGCCAGGCCGAGAGCGGCATCCCCTGCACGGGGACGTGCCCGGCTGATTGGCCGCAGCAGTTGAGCGGAAATCGCTAGGTTTTATCGTGGAAGCAAAAGGATGGGATGATGAAGAGGGGAAGTTGATGGGGATTCCTGTCTGGGACATAGGTACACAGGTAGGTAGGTAGTTACCGTTATAAGCAACTGAACATTATTCGTGTGCCAATTAAATCAAAGGTTTATACTAAAGAATTCGCCATAACCATGCCTCATTACTCGTCACTATAAATCTAGTTTCATTCATCTTCGTCACACATAAGCAGCGTGGTCTCATAACCTCCCCGCCTTGCCATGCCATGCCATGCCATGCCATCCTAACCTACCCCTTCTATCTATATGACCGCGCCCATCTATTCATTATCATGACCTCCCTTACTCCCACCTCTGCCACTCTCTAACCGCCTGGTCGAGCTCGGCTTCAACCCACTCCGCACCGAAGCGGTGCGGATTGAGTCCCACGATCCTGGCGTGGTACTCCTGATCTTTGATCCTGCGTTCCCTGACCTTCGCTTCTAGATACCTCGTATCGTTGTGCCGCACGGCCCATTGGAATATTTGGCGCATGCGGTCCGAGTATAGCTGGCAAGCGGCCAGCGGGAGTAGCTGGGGGTTCTTGTGGAAGTTGGCCGCAATGGAGCTGCTGTCGCGTTGAATCATAGGCCAGACCACTTCCCCGAAGCATTCCTCGCACACCGTAAGATCGGGAATTGACCGCATTGTGTACCACTTCCCGTTGTGGACCGGAGTGTCGCGAGCGCATTCGGGAACGGCCGTCAGGTCGCGAAGTCTATCGGCTAAGGCCTGAACGTCCGGTATGCTCTTGGTTATTAAGGCCTTATCGGCCGCTGCCTCGAAAAGATCGAAATAGAACAAAAACCTTCGTTCATTATCCTGGTG